TCACTGCTTTTGCTGTGTCCCAAAGATTTTGGTATGTTGTGCTTTCATTCTCATTTGATTCAAGGAATTTTTCAATTTCACTTTTTATTTCTTCTCTTACCCAGTCTTTCTTAAGAAGGGTGTTGTTCATTTTCCATGGGTTTACTCTTTTTCTGTTGATCTTCCCATTGTTGATTTCTAATTTGATAACATCGTGATCTGAGAAGATCCTTTGTAGTATTTCAATGTTTCTAAATATATGAAGGCTTACTTTAAGGCCTAACACATGGTCTATCATGGAAAATGTTCCATGTGCACTGGAAAAGAATGTATATTGTGCTGTTGTTGGGTGAAGTGCTCTGTAGGTGTCTATAAGGTTAAGTTGGTGGATTGTATTGTTTAGCTCTTCTGCATCTTTGTTGAGTTTCTTTCCAATTGTTCTATTTTTCATTTAAAGTGTTATATTAAAATCTCCTACTATGACTATGGAGTCATCTATTTGGCTTCTCATCTCTTTTAAAGTCTGATTTATGTATTTTGGGGCTCTTTTATTGGGTCCATAGATATTTTTTATGGTTATATCTTCGTGTTCAATTGATTCTTTAATCATTATATAATGTCCTTCCTTGTCTCATATGGTGGTTTTTGTCTTAAAGTCAATTTTATCAGAAATTAATATTGCCACTCCCGCTCTTTTGTGGTTGCCATTTGCTTGATATATCTTTTTCCAACATTTGATTTTTATTTTTGTTTTTGTCTCTGAGGTTTGTCTCTTATAGACAGCATATTGATGGATTTTGTTTTATTATCCAATCTGAAACTCTCCCTCTCTTGAGCGTTGCATTTAATCCATTATCATTCAGTGTAATTATCGACAAGTATGACTTGTTTGTTGTCATTTTGTTATGTGTTTTTTCATGGTGTCCCTGGTTTCTTAAGTCCCTGGATTCTGGGAGAATGCTGTCACTTTAAATATTGGAAATGGTCAAGCCACTTGTAAACATTCAAAATGGCTTCACCCTCTGGACAGGCAATACTCCACAATTCAGCCCACCTTCCTCTTCTCTGCTTGCCCTTTTATTCCCCAGCCACCAGAGAAGTCCTCCATGCAGTACCTGGCTAGCAGGACTGATTTTTAGGTTAATTCTTAGGTCCTGCCACCACTCGGCAATATCCAAGCTTTCTGTGCTATCAGGATGGCTGCCAGACCTCAGCTCTGTATGTCTCCTTTTTTGGTGTTTTCATGCAAATTCTTCTGCTAGTTGGAGTTTAGTCCACTTCTATATCCTTCCCTTCAAAGCTCAGGGGTCCAGGATTATCTTCTGTATCTGTGTTAATTGGTTGCCCTTTTCTTTGTTGAAGAGGGTCTGTGTGGTCTTTCTGCCTATTCTGCCATCTTACCAGAATTCCTCCTCAGCATCATTTTTTGAAGAGATATTTATATCTGCAAAAAGGACAAGGAGGCCACATATTCTGACTTCCTAGAACCCCACAAGAGGAAGACAGAATCACCATCAATAGCCCAAGACCTATTCCTGCGAGGCCAGACATGTTGCCCTCTTCCAGCCCTTTCTCCAACCATTCCTCCCAGAGCACCCACCACCTCTCTCCTGGGTTCAGTAATTCGCTGCAGTGGCCACACAGAGCTCACAGATTATAGGGTTTATTAGGGAAGCACCACAGGCTACAATTCAAGTTTAGGAAAAATGCTCAGTCTCTCTCCCAGCCCACCGTCCCTCAGCCAACAGTCTCTCACAGTCTCCTTCCCAGCAGTGCTGGTCCCTCAGTGTCTCACTCAGCAATGCATGTCTCTTGCGTCTCTTTCCTAGCAACACATGTCTCAGGAGCGCGTGTCTCTTTCAGTAGCACGTCTTCCTCAACCAGCAGTCAGAGAGAGTGCTGCCTCTAGGAGGCCTCCTTTTGAGCTTGGCAGAGTGGCCAAACTAGCCAATCATAGCATCAGAACTCTAAGCACTGGAGAGAGAGCCTCCCATAACATTGCGTTGTGCCACGCCCAGCAGAAATAACCCAGGTTGATAACATTTACAATCAGGAGCTCCTCAGTTGCTCATTCCACCACTGAGTTTACAATGACTTATGGGTAGAAAAGCCATACTAAGTAATTTACTACACTGCAATAGCCTATTGAATTACTTTGGTGCCTTTGTTGAAAATGAACTGACCATATATGTGTGGGTACATCATTAGGTGTTCTGTTCTGTCCATTAATCCATCACTTTCACTTAATTATTGTAGTGCTACAGGCTTGAAATGAAGTGTGTCTTTTACAGAGCCAACATTTTAGTTTTGATGTCATCTAATTTATCAATTTTTAAATTCATGCGTCATGCTTTTGGTTTTATATCTAAGAACTCTGTCTGCACAAGTTTATAAAAATTTTCTCCTAAAAGTTTTATAGATATATCTCTTATGTTAAGATCTATGACCAATGGTGATTTAATTATATATGTAATGAAATGTCTAAATTAATCTTTATATGTATATGTGTGTATGTGCAATTGTTTCTGCCTCATTTGTTAAAGATAAACAGAACTTTTATTTCTCCATTGAATTTACTCAGTATCTTTGTTGAAATCAGTTGACTATGAATATAAACATTTATTTCTGGACTCTCAATTCTGTTTCATTGATGCATATGTCTATCTTTAAGCTGGTACTACACCATCATGACTAATGCAACTTTGTAGTAAGTTTTGAAATTAAAACTGTATGCTTATGTTCTCTATCTCCCTTTCTTTTCAATTATTTTGGGTATTCTAGACACTTTCCATTTCCACATAAATTTTAGGAACAGTTTTTCAATTTCTGTAAAAAATCCTGCTGAGATTTCATAGGAAATGCATTGAATGTATAGATCATCACCTCACCTAGAAAGGTTCTCCTTTGTGGATTTTAGTTTGGCTGATCCTTTTTGTTTCCAATCTCTCTGATTATTATAAAATCTAATTTTTGCAATTTGTTCTTTATTTCCTAGTTTCAGAAGTAGGAAATCATGTCTTCTTCAACATATGAGTGTTAACATTTTTTTAGGGGGAGGGAAATATATTTCAAAACATTTGCCATTTAAGCATTTTTATACCATATGTTAACTTTAAGTGTCAAATAACACAGGATCAAAATGAACTAACTAGTTCAAAATAACTAGTGATTAGTCTGTAGTACCTGCTGTTTGCCAGACATGCAAATTAAAAATGCTTTCTCCAAATAACTTACTAACCTCTCACAAAGAGTACCTGAAGAGGATATTATTATCGTCTGCATTTTACTAATAATCACACTAAAGCCTAGAGCAGTTTTAAAAAGAGCTCAAGATTAGAAATACACAAAGCAGAGAATTGGAGTTTTCCATTCTGGCTGTCTGGCTCCAGATCCTCTGCTAAAATCAGCCCTACTGTAAAAACAGTAACTGAACAAAATCCAAGAACAAGCCTGTTTTTAGCATTTATTAATATTAAAAAATTAAACATTCACAATCAATTAAATAGATAAAATAAAATGGGATATTTAAATAGCAAGAAGTCTAAACTTTAGTGGAAAGCACATATTCTTTTCAAGTGCCCAAAGAACATTTACAAAATTCCTGAGTATTTTATTTAAATAATTAATATTGTAAGACTAGATAGAATCAAGAGAGAGAGTTTATCAAAGACATTAACATGAGAAATATGTTTGATAAATATTAATAATGGACTGAAAAGCTTAGTTTTAATGACCTAGATGACCTTCCTGAGACTCACTTTTTATTTTGGAAATCCTGTCCGTGAGATGTGTGTGTGTTTGTGTATGTGTGCATGTATGTGTTTATGAACTTGTAAAGAATAAAGTTATACATCACTAGTATTAAATTTCAATGATCAGCTGTTAGAGAGTACTAGCCTTCCTAGGGTTCCCCAGTAACATTTGGATGCTTTGATGGAAAATGCTTGGATAGCCTATAGATCTGCCCTCTTAAGTCTTTCTACATAAATTTGACATTAAAAAATTAAATAAGTCATTAGTCGTGGCCAAGCTTTACCTAACAATTTAGACATTTGCTACCTGTTCTATGTATTGGGTTTTTCAATTTTACTAACTAACAACTAAAGTTGATGAACACAAATTATAGAGAGGTTGAACAAGGAAAGAATTGCAAAACAATGAAAGAGAATATACCTTTATTTGCATGCTGGCAAATGAGAATTCAGCTTTCATTTCACTATCAGTATGAAATATTTTAGCCTGTGGCAAGCAGATACAGTATATGAACGGGAGATAATTTGATCTGCTTTGAGAATAACAATCTTATTTGTGAAGACCACATTGAGTCCATCCATTAGCATACTTTGATGCTTTCCTGCTTGACATTGCTCACAGAATTTAAAAGAGAGCAAGAACTTGACTGCACATTCAGAAATCAGGTGCACATTGAACTTTTAGTTCAAGATATTAAGGAATCATAAGTGGTGGTATCAGCTTGACTTCCCCCTCCCACTCCCAGACCCCCTACAGACATGGTAAGTTTACTAAGGATCATCATTTCTACCATAGTAATGGTAGAATTTGTTCTTGGATATTTTGCTAATAGTTTCATCACACTGGTGAACTGCATCGACTGGATCAAGAGACAAAAGTTCTCCTCAGCTGATAGAATTCTCACTGCCCTGGCAATCTCCAGAATTGGTTTGCTCTGGGTAATATTAATAAATTGGTACTTACTGTTGTTTAATCCAGTTTTATATAGATTAAAAATAAGAACTTTTAACATTGCCTGGTTTGTAATCAACCATTTTAGCATATGGCTTACTACTTGCCTCAGCATATTTTATTTGCTCAAAATAGCCAATTTCTCTAGCCTTATTTTTTTTCACCTAAAGCAGAGAGTTGAAAGGGTGCTTCAGGTGGTACTGTTGGGGATGTTGGTCATTCTGGGTTTTCAACTTGCATTGGTAATCACAGATTACTGTTTGTGGATGAATGACTATAAAGGAAACATGACTTGGAAGATCAAATTGAGTGACAGTGTGCACCTTTCAGATAAGATTGTATTCACTCTGGGAATTTTCATACCTTTCATCATGTCCCTGGCCTCTTTTCTGCTGTTACTCTCTTCCCTGGTGAAACACCACAAGAAGTTGCAGTTCAATGGCAAAGGATCCCACGGTGCCAGCACCAAGGCCCATGTAAAAGCAATGCAAACAGTGACCTCCTTCCTGTTGCTGTTTGCCATTTATTCTCTGGCTCTAATTGCATCAGCTTGGGGTTCTAATAAGCTACAGAACAATCTGATCTTCGAGCTTTGCCAGGCCATTGCAATCATCTATCCATCAAACCACTCATTTATTTTGATTTTGGTAAACCAGAAGCTAAGACAGACCTTTCTGTCACTTCTGTGGCAGCTGAGGTGTTGGCTGAAAGAAAAGGAAACCCTTAATTCCATAAATTGATAAGAGGGGCATTGTGAGTCTTCTAGCAGAAAACAAACTGATGGAGTCTTTGTAAGTGGTATTTTATACTTCTTCCTGATTTTTCAATTGTTGTTGTTGTTGTTGTTATGTGCCGTCGAGTCGGCCCCGACTCATAGCGACCCCTCCTTGGGTTTCCGAGGCAGTATCACTACGGAAGTAGGATTGCCCAACCTTCCTTCCGAGGAGTGGCTGGTGGGTTTGAACCGCCAGCCTTCTGGTTAGCAGTCAAGTGCTTTAGCCACTATGCTACCAGAGATTTTTCAATAGTATATGTATTTTCAAGAAAGATATTGTACCTAAACTAAATATACACATGCATACATTCATATATTTGTATATATTCTATTAGTTGCTGTTGAATCAACTCTGACTCATAGTGATCTTAAAGTATAACAGAATGAAACATTTCTGGTCTTGTGTCATCTTCATGTCATTGGTATTCTTGCTTGTTTTCTAGTAGTAGTATATTGAAAGTGTTCTGTTTTGATCTATGTGATTTTCTAATTTTCCTTTGCTAATTTTTAGAAGTAGATTATTTTCACTTTCTTCTGAGTTGGTCTTAGTATGAAAGCTCCACTGAAACCTGTCCACCACAGGTGACCCTACTAGTATTTGAACAATTATTAGCATAGCTTCTCACATCATGTTGTTGTTGTTGTTATGTGCTGTTGAGTTGGACCTGACTCATAATGAACCCTCCTTGGGTTTCCGAGGCAGTATCACTATGGAAGTAGATTGCCCAACCTTCCTTCTGAGGAGTGGCTGGTGTGTTTGAACCACCAGCCTTCTGGTTAGCAGTCAAGTGCCTTAGGCACTATGCTACCAGAGCTTCTTCTCACATCATAGCAACATGCAAGCCACCATAGTAAGAAAAACTGATAGGTGAGTGGTTGATATTGATGTATATGATACATGATGTATCATATATACCATACATCTCTCTCTCTCTCTGTATATATATACATACATGTATATGAAATATTAGAAAATATGGGATTGATTGGAAATAACATACCCTTAATTTTTTCAAGTAAATTATAGAAGCAATTTTTAAAAATTCCTGAGTCATGAAGCCACCTGCACTACATTCACATATTCCATGTTATCATCTGTAATGGTTAATGTTATGTGTCTACTTGGCTGGGCTATGATTCTAAGTGGTTTGGTAGACATTGGACTGATTTTTCTTCTATAATGTAATAGAATGTAATCACTTCCATGATGAGATCTAACATAATGTAATCACATTCATGATGGAATCTGATATGAGCAGCCAATCAGTAGACAGGTGAGTTTCCTTGTGGATGTAGCCTGCCTCCAGTATATAAATGGTTGTTCCAGCAAGACGCATTCTCTCTGGATCCTGCCTCTGACTTTTCATCGTCTGACCTCCAGTTCTTGGGACTTGAGTCAGCAGGCTGCTGCTTGACCTGCAGATTTTGGGTTTTTCAGCCCCTACAACCACATGAGTCAAAAGAAGCCTCCAGTCTGACTCCTGACCCATCCATTTGCCAGCTTCCACAATTGCATGAGCCATTTTCTTAAATTAAATCTCTCTATGTATACTTATAAGGAGTTCTGGTGACATAGTGGTTAAAGCATTCATCTGCTAACCAAAAGGTCCATGGTTCTAACCCACCAACCACTCTGTGGGAGAAAGATGAGGCAATCTGTTTTTGTAAAGATTTATAGCCTTGGAAACCCTATTGGGGCAGTTCTACTCTGTTTTGTTGGGTTGCTATGAGTTGGAATCAACTTGATGACAGTGGAGATTGTATATACATGTAAATGTTTCACTGGTTTTGCTCCTTTAGAGAACTCAGCCTAAGATACCATCTTAACAGTAAAAAAAAAAAAAAAAAAAAAAATTCATAATCTACATATCAGGAATTGACAACTTGTCTCAAGAAATGATTAATATTTTCTCTTATAATATGTACCACACATATGTACCACAGGGTTTTTAGACTTCATTGCATGAGCTTCCAATCTTTTGGATAGTAACAACATTCAATTCTAAGTCACTCATTGAGGATGTCTGTTTGGGGTATATTTTATTCCATCATGAAGTCATATTTCATGGTTAATAGAGAGCAACAGAGCTGTTAGGAAATGATGTACATTGTAAAATAGAGACAAATATTTAGGGTAAATTTTGTGTATTTTGTGACAATAAACAATACTGAACAAGAATGAATTTAATCCAAGTGGGTGAAAAGCTTAGGAAAAAAATGAACCTCTGCAATAAACATGAAGAAGAAAAAAACATGATCAGGGACATTTTTAATGCTGTTATTAGTTTTTATATGTTAGAAAAGTCATATCTTTCAGTGTTTGAGTTGAGAACTCTTTGAAATTGAGATCTGATGTCAAATATTTGAATTTTCCCCCGAGTCACCTCTGGGTCCCTGAACTTCCAATCATCAATTCAATTTTAAAAATTCCTTTTGAATTTCAGATAGGAAGACTCAAATCTTTCCTATCTTAATAAAATGCTTCATATAATAATGGTAAAGAGATTATGCTAAATAAATCAAATTAACCATTCTGCATACTTTAAAATGATATCTATGAAGTTTATATATTATAGGAAATGTCTTAAAGATCTGTTTTATTATAATCTTTTGGAAAATTCATTAGTAGCATGTTCCATTATAAGAAAAAAATGTATAGCCTTGCTCAACAACTGAATTCTATATGACTATATTAATTATTATCCTAATGAAATTTTAATAAAAATATCTAAACCTTAACATAAAGCTTTCTTCATCTGATTTGTTTATCATTTGTGTCCTTTAGTACAATATAAGCTCCATAAAAACAGAGATTGTGTCTGTTTTGTTTTACTGTTGACTCTCCAGGAACTGAAAGAAAGCAGTACATACAATATTTGGTCATAAATGATTTTATGATGAATGAATAAATGGATGGATAAATGAATGAAATCTATTAGGGCTGGAAAACCAATGTAAATTAAACTCATTACAAAACCTGCAGGTAACATGGATTGCATGGATTTTCTTTCTCTGGTTTCACATTAATATGACAAGCTTATCCAAGTAGCAACATTTCTTAGAGCCAACATGCAGCTATTACATAATTCTAAGGGAAATATCTATTATTTTTATGTTAAGAAATTTGGAAGATAGCTGCCTGGCCAACTGACTGGTAGAGATCCATATTTGTGCCCATTCCAAATAAAGATGATCAAATGGAATGCGGAAATGATCAACAATATCATTACTATGACATGCTAGCAAAATAATGCTAAAAATAGTTCAAAAACAATGGCCAGAAATTTAAGCAAGATTCGAAAGAGGGCATGAATGGGGGATATCACTACTGATGTCAGATAGATCTCAGCCAAAAGCAGAGAATACCAGAACGATGTTTACCTGTGTTTTATCAACTATGTGGGTCATAACACAATTATGATCATATAGATAACAGTATGATGCATTAGAATTCCAAAACACATAATTTCGCTAATGTAGAATATGTACATGGATCAAGAGACAATCATTTGAACAAAACAAGAGTATACTGTGTGTTTTAAAATTGGAAAATATGTGTGGCAGGATTATATCCTCTCACCTTACTTATTCAATCTGTGCACTGAACATATAATCCAAGAAACTGGACTATATGAAGAAGAATGAAGTGTCAATATTGGAAGAAAACTTACTATGAGCCTGCAATATGCAAATGGAATTACCTTGCTTGCCAACAATGAAGATGATTTGAAGTATAAAAATGAAGACAATTTGAAGCACTTACTGATGAAGTTAAAGACTATAGCCTTCAGAATGAATTTTACTTGAATGTAAATAAGGAAGATTCTTACAACTAGACCAATAAAAAAATCATGATAAATGGAGAAAAAAAATGATATTTTCTACTTGGATCAACAACCAATGTCCATGGAAGCAGTAGTCAAGAAATCAAATGACATACTGCATTGGGCATTGCTGCAAAAACTCTCCTTAAAATTGTAAAAAGCAAAATGTCATTTTGATGACTAAAGTGTGAGTAACCCAAACAATGATGTTTGCAATCATCTCAAATGCATTTGGACACTGGACAATGAAAAAGAAACAGAAGAAGAATTGATGCATTCAAGCTACCATGATGATGAAGAATATTGAATACACAGTTCACTGACAGAATAGGGAGTTTTAAAATACATCCAGAATACTCTTTAGGAGCAAGGTTGGAGAAACTGCCTTGCTTACTTTGGACATGTCACCACAAAGACCAGTTTCTTGAAAATTACATCATGGTTAGTATCTTAGTTATCTCATGCTACTATAACAGAAATATCACCAGTGAATGGCTTTAACAAATAGAAATTTATTCTCTCACAGTTCAGAAGTCTAGAAGCCCAAACTCAGGGCTTCAACTGTAGGGGGAGCCTTTCTCTCTGTGTCTCCTGGGTCTGGGAGGTCCTTAGCTCAGGGACCCTGGGTCCAAAGCAAGCCTCCATTCCTGGCTCTTCTTTCTTGATGTTAGTCAGGTCCCCTTTCTGCTTGCGTCTCTCTCCTTTCATCTGTTTCATCTGTTGTAAGATAAAAGATATGACTCAACTCAACTGTGACTTGAGTAAAGATGGTGACTTGAGTAAAGGTGATGACTTGAATAAAGATGAAACTTCAGTAAGGGTGGTAACTCAAGATACACACCAAGATAAAAGCTATGATTCAACTAAGGGTTTCACTTGAGTAAAGATGGTGACTGGGGTGAGGGTGATGACTTGAGTAAAGATGAAACTTAAGTAAGGGTGGTGACTCAAGATACACCCCACGCTAATCTTGCCTCATTAACATATGAAAATTAGGATTTACAACAAATCACAAAATGGAGGAAAACACAATATTGAGAGTAATGGCCTAGCCATGTTGACACATATTTTTTGGGGACATAGTTCAATTCATGACAACTTGTAAAGGAGAGGTTCAGTGAAAATAAAGGAAATCCTCAAGAAGGTGAATTGATGCAGTAGCTGAGACAATGGACCCAAACATACCAATGATCAAGAAGATGGCGCAGAATCAGGTGACT